CATTTTACATGGTACATTTATTAAAATAGCTATTCATTTTTAATTGTCTAGCATATTTTAATTTTCTCAAAAAATGGGCTCACCCCCTATTACATGGGACTCATAACATAGATGGGGAAAAGTGCGTATTACTTCTGTGTGCACCTCTGCCTACCCCTTCGGGGATGGAAGGCGTGATGTTATGTTGTCAAAAACTTGTTTGCCACTAAAATAAACCCTGAACTTTTTGCTTTTTGGCAGGTCTGTGTGACATACATAGGTAGGTTCCTCGAACCTAATATTTTTATGCCGCAACATAGAATTTCTATAACAGCGGGTAATCACGAGCAGTCGCAAAAAGGTACCACGGCGAGCAGCAACTCAAAAGTACTCCATTGTGTGGAGATGGTAGGTGCACTCGCTCCGAAAAGTATGGGTTTCCTGAGTGGACTTCAAGGGTTTACCTGTGACAGGAGCATTAACAGTGAAGTCTTGAAACACAGATCCGTCATTGAGACGATCTCCACAGAGCCTGGTTGCAGCTATTAGCAGCCAGTCGCTGGGACAATTCAGGATCTCCACTCCAGCTTGATCTGGCGGGATCACTGGCAGCCCATCTGTCAAAAAACACCTATGACTGACTAGGTCCCTATAACAACTCTCCAATTAAAAACTGTAACACCTGACGCTTTTCGCTTGGTAATCAAAGTGCAAAGCACGAATAACTATTGCATTCGTAACGTAATAATATCGAGCGCGTTCGGCGCTCTGATTGGCCGGCTCAAGTGAACCAACCAATCAGAACGCTTAACTCGCTCGATACGGTTACGATACGAATGCGATAGTTATTCGTGCTGAATCGTGCTTGGCACTCAGTACCTAATCACATTTATGACATCGTCCAATCAGGTAGGTAGTGTCGATACTTAGGTACCTACATGTTCAATTAAGTAAATTAGGTTTGTCACTAACACTGCACTATAGAGCAGGCTAGGTCATACTCATTATGGTACCTAATGGGGATCCATTAAATGAACTTACCCGTGTCGTAGTTAACTATCTGCATGTTACCAGTGTTGGTGTACGTGACACTGCATGTTTCTGCTTTCCGCTCGATGCACATAGCGTAATTTAGATTGTTCTGTAATGCAAATGCGTATTATGTAGTTCAATTAGTGTAGCAATGACCAATATTATCATAGATAATTGATCATAATATCGACTTAGGTATTACATTATCGATAGGTAAGTACAGAAACGTGTAGTTTAAACTGTCAAACACCAAGCGGTCACCGGTGACCGCAACCTATTGTTCTATAATTGTGTCTATAATGACGGTACTCGACGAGTTAAACTACAAAATTAAGGTATGTTGGTGCTTGATATTTTTGTTAGTAGGTACGTATTACTGTAAGTAAGTAAACATATACGACTGCACGATTGGAGTGGCAACTACTGTGCAGCAGCATGCCACAGGTAACTGAATCCCGCGGCACTGAACTATTCATTGTGTGATCCACAAACTATTCTTCCGAATGTGATGCTTATGCAGAGTTATGAGTTTGTAACGCACAGAAGATATTGGATGCAATATTTTTTAACCAAAATAAAAAGAAGAATTGTTGAATCATCAACATCGACATCCTATAATTGGCCATTGCTGACTAAAGGCCTCTTCGCACACGGAGGTTTAAGAACTCGGAAAAAATCACATTGGTAGGTTTTGAACCCACTATCTTATGCATGAGAAGCGGGCATCTTAAACCTCCGGGCCACCACGACACGACATTCGTGTCACGAATTGTTTAATAATATCAGTCTTAATATTTCTGTGAATAATACCTACTAAATAATTTGGTGTCCTTGCGATGACGATGTCAGATTTATCTCGATAGTTAAAGGATTCAAAGTAACCTTGAGTATCTGTGTAGTATTGCAAACATCCCGTTGGAGCGGCCAGCTCATCTGATGGTGTTAGTTGTGTTACCTACAAATGAAGAAAGGAACATTAACGTGGTATCAATTAGGTAGGTACTTACATGATTAATGAAGCTGTTGTTTGATATAACGTACTGACTACCGTCTAATCATCTACGTCAAGAACTAAGTATTACTTACCTAATTAACTAAGGTACTTAGGTACCTATGTTCTGTTTAGTCTAAATTCTTACCTTAATTGAAAACAGCCTGCTATCTGAAGAAACTGTTTGGAAGGTAAAATTAATAGGACCGTCCACTTCCCCCACTTCAATGTAAACTGAAACGGGAATGGCATTTAATCAATTTTTTTTTTTTTAAAAAAAACGTTGCCCCACAATAGGAGTTTCTCCTGTGTCGTGGGTGCGTTTACAAACATACAAGTTCACATACACAATGACATCCAGACCCGAAACAACAATTTGTGGATCACACAAAGTGTTGTTCCGTGCGGGAATCGAACCCGCGACACGTTTCACGGCAGCCAGTTTCCCAGCCACCGCACCAACCGTGCAGTCTATGATTGTCAATTGTCAAATCTTTGAAAAAAACTACCAGTACATAGGTATCTATATAAAATCCTGACTCAAATCGAAGTGGTATCAGCGGTACTAGTAAATTCGATTTCGATGTTGGATCCATAGATTATGTTAGAGGTTGGCGCGTTTAAAAAAAGAAATGAAAAATCGGCACATTTACGTTACCGTGTTGACCAGAATTGATCCCGCAAAGAATCGGTATTACATTATTAACGTTTTGTCCGGAAACAATGAACTGATCATCCTGACACGAACCATCTGTTGGTGGAAGGAGCTGAAACAACATAAATTACCTAGAACTCTGACACTTTAACACATATTTCTATGTATTTCTAAATACAGTATTGTAATCCACCTCAAAATTATTAAAATCCAATCGTATCTGAGTAATATCTTCAGAGGCTTTATCCAATACAAAAGTACAAGACAGCCTGTCAGTGCTTGGTGACGGAAAGTCAGGGTTAGTGAACCAGCCAGAGTCTGCATCTGAACGCCCATCACATAGGAATTGAGCTGAAACATTAGCAAATAATTAAAATACATTTCAAATGAATTTGAACCATAAACTTAGTGGCAGTAGAACTTGTACAATAGATAATTAAGTAATATGAACTTTCTACGATGGATGATGATTGCTGAGCCTATTGTCTCTACCTGTACCTACCTATTTAGGTACGTATAAGGCATGATATGAAATATCGTATCCAATCAGGGGCCTAACCCTAGGCCTTGCTCTCAATCTAACCAGTTGCAATTGCAACTCCCAACTGAACAAAGCCGTTTAAAACCATTAAGTAGCTGATTATTTACCAAACTAAGAAGATGACTGGATTAGGAAAATGGCTGATAAATGGAGAAGAAGGCTGTATACTTACTCACGCAACAAGTTCCATAGCCATCTGCACAAGTCCCCATTGTAGAACCGCCAGAGTCAATGCACCCAGACTCTGGCAAACACGTACCTTCGAGACCACTACTGGATGTACAAGAAACATGATCAAATTCTACCACCTGGAAAACTTCCAGAAATCTTGTCTTAGCTTTCTGTTTCGTGTTTAGCTGTTTCATTTGTCTCGGCCTAGCCACAGGACACCTCTTACGTATTTTTGTTCTTTTAGGACGCACTCTATTTAATACGTTCATATTCTCAAATGTATTGTTGTAATTTAAAGATATGCTATCAGATTCCGAAGAACTATTACCACTTTTCATATTAAAAATTTGTGCGGAATAAAAATTGGTACGTCTATCGTTCAACTTTTTGGGATCGATTAACATTAGCGGCAAGAATGGATGTTCATTATTTTGGATATAGTTGGTTCGGAATTCCGGATTGGACGAATTGTGTTGGGTGTTTCTCCTGTCGATGATTGCCGCTGAGTACCATTTTTCTGCCTTGCTGGAGACAGTAACAATACAGAATAGAAAAACGATAAAGTTTAAGAAAAACATATTCGCACACGAGTGAATAACTGATTGTGGAGACGAGGCACTAAGTAGAGTAGGCACTGAACTGAACTGCAGTAATGTTGGGTAGTGTGACGATGCAGTTGGCTTAGCCCGTGAGGACAGCGTGACGAATGTAATTATTGCCTAGAAATCGTTCTGGTTTGCTAATTTGCCCCATATACTGGATAACGGTATTATGTTAGTTGCTGCTAGTTATGCATGTGATTTATCAAAGTAGCCATAATACCTTCACTAGCTATTCCAAAATGCTTAGAGATTTTAATCACAAATAATGAAATAAGAAAGCCTACCCCATCGACCTCATATAGGCTACGACGTCAATGAACTACACATTCTCCCAATTAAACAGCAAGCTCCTGACTGACGACATCGACTAAGCTTGTAATATGTCTAACAACGTAACGTAGGTAGATAATAGTTTGTGTTGACGGGTTTAGGTCACAGATCAGTTCGTAATGAATAAAAGACAAGGCGAGCCGCGCCCTGTCTAACAATCTAAATGTAACACGTGCTGATAATATGGAAATTGTCTTGTCTACCTAACGCTTAAATACCGGCCTTTCTCAAAGGGAGCTTTGGGGTATTAGACTATCGACCGTCATGTAAAACGTCATAAGAAACGTTGATCGACTACTTGTACATGTACATATGATAATATGATAAATACCATAATTTTTCAAAGCCCAGCTGTATTTTTTTTTAATTCAAACCATGGGTTTTACTTAATGTGGTCTATGTCTATCTTTGTCTGGTATCATAAAGCAAAGCAACTGATTAATAAGCATGACATGGTACTTGAGATAGGTCACCGACATGGCGACATAGGTTGACTTTACACTTGGGGGTGGTCTAGGGTAATATAAGGTATAATTGGTATCTATAAGCATATGGGTAGAAAGAAAGGACTAGTCTACTGCTTACCGAATTGCTAGAACAATCTGTCTCTATACCCAATACCTACTTAATCTAATAATAGGTTGCACCTACATACTTAGGTACCTAATAGGTTTAACTGGTCCAATATCTAAAGGTGCTATTAATCCCATTACAAGTAATTCACCTATGTCACCTACGGATAAACTTGACGAACTTGGTCTAGATTATAATGGATAGATTATTGTTATTATGTGGTACATAGACATACCTACCCACTACCGTCAATCTAGGTTGTGTGTGCTACATTCATATAGTAGGGGGTGACGCAATACACACATAAAGTTTAGTGGCTATTGATCGTTTCAGACTTGCCGTAGAGACAGACCAATGTATTATCTAGAAAAGTATCATTATTAGAATCTTAAATGTACTTTGACCTTAGTTTACATTATCTAATTATTTGCATGGGATGTCAAATTTTGTATGAGATAGGCAAATGAGCAAACCGATCATCTTATAGAAGGTAAGCATCATCTTCCCCTATACTTAAATTACTAGCTGTTGCCCGCGACTTCGTCCGGATTATGCCCGAAAATTTATGCTTTTAAATTAGTTTTTATCAAGGGATATTCTGTGGCAACGAATGTCATCAGAATTGATTAAATACCTAATATAGGGCTCCTCCCTTGTAGATGATATCGTGATAATATTAAATGTTGTTCTATAGATATAGAAAGAAGATAGATAGATAATAGATGTATCGATATAATTATGTAGATAGATAGATTTTTTTTTTTTTTTTTTTTTAAGGGGGGAAAATCATCGAATGACTGCCCCCGCCTGGGTGAGGCCGGAGGGAGTGTCAGACTCTTACTGACTAAAAACCACCCCGTTCCTTCTCCTGCACGTCGAGCCGGAGCCCCGGTTACCCGTTAGGTTCTCCGCGACTCCGAATCGGCATCGGCCCTATTGGGCCCCATCTGTGGTGGTCTGATGGCTCTTTGAGGCGCGCGCGGAACGCGACGCGCCGTACGCTCGGGTCTGTTTCTGGTCGGACGGGGAGCCACCCATGCTCGCCGTCCGCAGGCCCGCGCTTACGGTGGCCGGAGATCGTCCCGCGATCCCCGACGCCCGGTGTGTCCTTCGCGATGGCTGGGTTGCGAGGAGGCAGCGCTTCGCTGCCTCACGCGTCCCGCCTCCTCCTTAGCTAGCATGACTGCTTCGCAAAAGGAGGAGACGGCATCCCAATCCCCCTCGCTCCTAGATAGATAGATAGATTAACTTGAATTCGTATTTTTTCTTTTCAAATCGTATTCTTTTAGAGTAAAGCTACATACCTAAATATCATGGCTTACTCAAAAATATCATTTAAATATGATTCATTATATAACACGCTGTCATAGAATGTGTAATAGAATTAACGATTCACAGACTTTTCTACGATCGTAATAAATGTATATATACTCTTTGGCTTCGTCTATTAACAATAGACATCCGCCCATGTGCCCATTATCTACCAACCTTACCTTTATTTTGTAAAAAGGTATGTTTTGAAAAGAGGGAATATTAAATATTTCCCATTTAAGAAAATTATTGGTTTCGTTTAATATGAGTACCTACCCTTAGTAGGCCTACACCCACGCATAGGCGTAGACATATGCCTATACCAAACCATATGTAAAAGAAACTTACTCCACATCCTGTGCTAATTGAACAGATATTTTTACTAAGATCATTAATCTTGGGTAATTTGTAAGCATTTCTGCACATGACGTGATTGACCGGCTGTGTATATTGTCCTTGCGTGTCTATGTGTACGCGTACAGCCACGCCTGTGCGCGCTTTTTCCAAAGCTCTGCGGGCACGCATACAATGAATGCTGTCACAGATTATATTACAAGTGCGTTATCACACATGTGTCCCTTCGTTCATACATGGAGAAATACTAGCCACTATATAAGGCCTACTCGCCCGCCCGATCAACCATATCGGTCTCAGCGTTGAGGGGTTGAACACTAAATATGCTTCTAAAAGTAAGTCTAGAGTTGTTATTTTTATTCTATGATATGAGTTTGGTAATAGAATGTAATGTATACCTGCTTGTTATGTGCTATCCAATTCATAATGAAAAAATATTTAGGAAAGGAATGCTTTCTGAATCCCTAATATACCTACCTACTTGATCCCTGTCTGAACTGCGCCAATCTGCTTGCCAGGTGTAGAGGCTATTGTAAACCCCAATTTTGTAGAGGAAGCTCATCGTCCAGCAGTGCTTTATTTCTTTGAGGGGGAACGTCATCCGATGACTTCTCCCACCCGGGTGAGAGGCGCCGGGCGAGAGGGAGTGTCAGACTCTTACTGACTGAAACCCCCCCCATTCCTACTCCTGCACTTCGAGCCGTAACCCCGGTAACCCGTTAGGTCCTCCGCGACGGTCGAGCAGTGCACTGCCATAAAAAAAAGCTGTTAATACATCATCATTATATGAGCCACAAGACTTCCACTTTTGATGACGTTGATATAATAATGAGTTCAAACTAATATATTTTTATTGTTTTCAGTTATTATTGTTGGTGTGCCTTGCAGCCCTAAGCAATGCTGGGCTTATTTCACCAGTGTACAACGCTCCTTACGCCTACGGTGGCTGGAACCCATACAGCTCGTACCCCGCTCAACCAGCAATAGCTTCACAGCATTCCAACATTTTGAGGTCACCTTTTAATCTTGGCCAGGTAACTATGTTATGAACTAAATATATTATGTACCAATGTAAGAAAGTATATGGTCTCCTAGGCCCTAGGCAGTTCTAACAAATAACTTACGAACTTACGAGAAACGACTGCCACCTGTCCATCCACCACGGCATACAGAAGTAGATTTTTTGTGCCATATTTTTTACTAGCTTTTATCCGCGGCTCCGCTCGCGTCACAAAAGGATAAAAAATAGCTTATGTGACATATATCAACACACAGCGCCATCTATACCAATACTTTTGTTTTCCCCAGGGAAGATCAATTTTCCGGGATAAAAAGTACCCTATTATTTAATCCGGACTGAAAACATTACGTCTGCAAAAATTCAAAGCAATCGGTTTAGTAGTTTCGGCGTGAAAGCGGAACAAACAAACAAACTTACTTTCCGATTTATAGAGGTAATATTAGTAAGGATACCTTATTCGTGGAATGGGTTGTAATTGTAACTACTGTCGAAGAAATTCGTATATAGAATACGACCAACAGCTTTTGTTCTCCGAAGCACGAATATTGCACATTTTTGAAATGCATTTTTTTTGCGCAAGGAATCATACTCGCGAGAAATGTGCATCATGCCTCCAAATAACAGTAGTAACCAATAATATGGGAGGGTCCTACCGTGTCTAGATTGAAAATCTATACATATAATAAAATTGTAGAAAAGTGCTGTCTGTACATTGAAAATAAAAATAAAAAAAATAGCAGGGGCTATTGTTATGTCGATGTCGAACCCAAAAATGTAACTAACTTTTTTTTTGTCTGTTTGTCTGTTTGTCTGTTCACGCTAATCTCAGAAACGGCTTATCCGAGTTGGATGCGGTTTTCACGAATATATTGTGGTATGCTTCAGTTATGCTTTAGTGTTTGTTTCATGTCAATCGGTTCATAAATAAAAAAGTTACGTCAAATTAAAGAATCACGTCGAACACTATCTATCTAT